CCTGTCCCTTAGGAGTAAAGTGGGGCCACATGACCTTCTTCACTGAGGCCTACACACCAGGCACAGGGTCTAGTCTGATGCCCAGCTGACGCCTGATTAACCACACTGCTTTCTTCCTTTCCTCCTGGCTGTCCTTGAGGTTCGCCTTAACCTCACCACACCTGCAGAAAATGTGGAATAGGGACAAGGAGACAGGCACTATGGTAGAAGGGGAGCACCTCCCCAGGCTAAGCCTATTCCTTCCCTCTCACTGGCCCCTCACTGCCCTGGATGCCAGACAGACAAAAGACTAGAGGTAGTGGAGGAGGACTCTGACTCCCAGGACCCACCTGACTTCCTCTAGCACCCACTGACTTTTCACAACAGAAACTGAGCCACAGGCTCCAGCCAAGCATGAGCACGCTCTGGGACACCAACACTGAGCACTTGGAGGATGGAAGAAGGTCATAGTAAAAGGACTTCCCTGTGGGCAGTGCAGCTACTCGTTAAGAGTGCCAGCTCTGGGCTGGGGAAGTGACTCAGTTGGTAGAGTACTTGTCCACTGTGCACGAAGCCCTGGGTTCAAACCCAGCAACCACATGGGTGTGGTGGTGCACACCTTTAATGGCAGCATGCAGGCAAAACACTCAAATAATAATACAACAATACTTTTAAAAAGGTTTAAAAAAAGAGTTAGAGATTATCCTCAGCTACATAGAGTTCAAAAAGAATGCCAGCTCCAAATGGCAGACAGATGGGCCCCACATGCATAATCCTGGCTCTGCCAGGACAAGTTTGTTTTGTTTTCTGTGCCTCAGTTTCCCAGATGAAAAATAGAGGCACTAAATATGTTTTACATTAGAGAGCTGTTGGAAGGACTAAAACATACAAGAAAAGCACTTAAGTACCTGGTAAAAATTTAACATGTAGTAAATGGCACAAATTATTATAAGCAACATTTATTAAATGAATGAATGGTGGGGCTGGGGAGATGGCTCTGCAGTTAAGAACACTGACGGCTTGCTGTACGTGATGGCGCATGCCTTTAATCCCAGCACTCGGAAGGCAGAGGCAGGAGGATCTCTGTGAGTTCAAGGCCAGCCTGGCCTACATAGCAAGTTCCAGGCCAGCCAGGACTACATATGAGACCCTGTGCCAAAAAATATGTGTGTGTGTGTTAAAAAAAAAGAAAAAGAAAAAGAAAAGAATAGATGAGAGAGAACACTGAATTAGAATTGTCCCCATTCTACAAACGCTATTCCACAAGGCCTATGTATGTAAGACCACCTCCTCTGTCCTTTATGCCCACAGGGTCCTTGGGAGAGAGGATACCTATGCTCTACTGCAGGGGTCAGCAAGCTTTTCTATAAAACATGAACAAAGACAGAAAATACAGGTTTTTCAATATGGTATCCAATACAACCACTCAGATCTTCAGCAAGACAGTTTATAAATGAATGAATGTGACTGTTCTAATGCAAGTTTATTTATAGAAACAGGCTATAGCCAATCTGTTGTGTTGGTTTACATTGGGCTTCATAAAGGGCTGATAGCCTTAAAGGAATTGCCTCTGACCCCCAACTCAAATCTCTGGGGTAGAGAACTGACGGTGGCACCCTTTCTTGTCCTCCCCTACTGCTGGGAGCTAATAAGTAGCAATTGAAGAGGTTCCTGAGGGGAGGGATACCAAGTGACAGGGCAATGGCAGTCCTCAGCTAGAGCTCTCTGGGCTGTAAAAACAGGAAGTAGTGTTATGAGCCACTGTCTCTGAAACTTAGACTCAGCAACTAAAAGACAAAAAAAAATAAAAGCAGATGTGGAGGTGGGTGGAGACAGCTGGGCTCCTCAGTGCCTCTGTGTACTCTGTGGGGCCCCTCCGGAGCCACAGGTGGTCTGGGGGAGCCCAGGGCTGTGGACGGCCCCACCCAAAGAGATAAGTCACCTTGGTTTTCTGGGCCTTCAGAGTTATGTCTATGTCAAATGGGGACATGAACACTGCCTAGCTTTGTACTTAAGAGACTAAAATAAGAAAAATTTAAGGTGTAAAATTCATAGCCTGGCTGGTAGCCTACCCAGCCATGAACTGCACAAAAAACAATAAAAATAGCTGACAATATTCCTGGCTTCAATGTTCTAAGTAGTTGTGATACCAGCTTTCTGCAGCTTTCTGGCAGGTGCTCATTTATAGTTTGATCCCTACAATGCCCTTCTCCCATTTAAAAGTGAGGAAACAGAGGAAAGTTCAGAGGACTTGCCCATGCCAACACAGGCTTTGGCAGTAATGTGGATTCACTTGTGGATGGCACCAGAGCTGTGCTTCCTATCCTCCTGCCCTGCCAGGCATATGGAGTGTGAGGAGGCAACCTGTTTCCAGGAACTCATGTAGTGGCCCCCCTCTCAGCACCATAAATCAAGGATGGATAGAAAGAGGGCAATGAAGGCCCAGGCCTCCCCAAGGCCCAGGCCAGCTGCTTGCCTACAGCCATCTCAGCCACTTCTGCCTCTCAGGGGCGGCCTCACCGAGATGTGCTCCAAATCTGGGAAAGGGCTCTTTCCTTCTCTTCCAGACAGTTGAGGACAGAGTTCAGGGGCTTCCCACATCCTGAAAGTGATATAGCTTTAACTGGATAGGTTCAGTGGGTGGGCAGGGATGTCCACAGGGTCAGAAACACTGACCCCTGCTGTGCTGGAGGCCAAAAGCACTGGAACAGCTACACACCAAGAGACACCCCCAGACAAGAGCTCCAGATCAAACAGGACCAGAGAACTTTACAGTTTCCTCCTAGAGATCCACCACCTTCTCCATGTTCATTCAGTTTTCTGTCTAAAGAGTCAGTGTCTTTCAACTCATTGTTTCCCAAGCTTATTTGGCCAGGACTCTCTTAGAGAGCCACCCTCCGTGATTCCCATAAGTCTCTACTTAGGGCCTAGCTCAAGCCTGGCACTCCCAGCTGGCCTTAGGCATAGTATCACCCAGCAAGCAACTTTGTGGGGAGGAAAGCTGACCAGGGGTAGGAGAGGTTCACACCTACAAGAAGCATGTACTTTAGAAGAATAATTTGTTATCAAAAAAAAAAAACCATAAGTATACATTAAAAACCATGGAAGATAGATATCAAAGTATTTCTATGATTATCCAAGAGAGGCAGCATATTTTCTCTGGAAGGGTCAGTGAGGAGCTGATGATTGGTTTGATCACCAGTGGCCAATGACTTGACCAATCATGCCTATATAACACCTGCCATAAAAATCCAATAGTCCTGACTCTGGAGAGCTTTTAGGACACAGGACACACAGAAGGGTGGCATGTCAAGATGGCATGGAACTTCCATGCTCCTTTCTCCAGGTCCTGCCACTGCATCAATTCCTCCTGCCTAGTCCTGAGCTGGATCATTTTGTGAGAGGCCAGTCATCTGGAAAGTGAACAGTTGCTAGATCTGTGGACTGCTCTAGCAAATTATGAACCTGAGAATAGGTCATGGAACTTGTGATTTGCAGCCAAGTGGAACAGAAGTTGTGGGTAACCTGGTATATGCTGTTTGTGAGTGACATCTACAGTGAAGGAGTCTTGCAGCTCTGAGCATACTGGTGAGTGTCAAGACTAAACTGAATTGCAGGACCACTCCCCAGAACTGGTTATGGGTGGGAAACCCAACCTTTGATCATAGATGTAGTCTGTGTTGAGAATATCAAGTATGGAAAATGCAGTTGTTTGGGGTTTTCTAACAAAACAGGTACCATGGAGCAAGAAGCAGCTAGTAAAAAATAGGCCAGCCAGGCGTGGTGGTGTATGCCTTTTGTCCTAGCACTAAGGAGGCAGAGGCAGGCAGATCTCTGTGAGATGGAGGCCAGCCTGGTCCACATAAGTTCCAGGTCAGCTGGGGCTACAGGGAGACCCTGTCTCAAAAAGACCAAAAAACAACAATGAAAAAACCCCAAACAAATAAAAAAATCAGGCTAAATGAAAATAATGTGAAAATGAAATTTAACAGAACAAATAATACCAAAAATAATACACTGGCTTCAGAGGCCTCCTAGCAGTCAATGAAAGGGAAGCCATGTGATCCTGACCCTAGGACATGCCATCTTGAAGAGGGGGCAATATTTACCTGGCCCAATCTACCACCCAGTCATAAGGCTGAGTGAGACAAGGTAAGGCATGTGCTCTCCCACAGGGATGAAATGCACTTAGCACAAGAGTCCCTTCCTCAGCCCTAGTCCACAGTGTCTGCATAGGATTGTAATGATGCAAAGGAAGGAGCTGAGGGGACCCCAAATCTCAGCTGCAGAGGGAACCAGGAACCCCCAGCTCCACCTGGATGGAGACACTGCTGGCCTGCAGGGGCTTCTCAGGGCCAGGCTGAACTCCTGATGCTGTGACTTCTTCCTCCCTCAACAGTACCACTCACCACATACCACACTACTACCAGTGGGGCACAGAACACCAGACACCACCTCCACTAGTCACAGAAACAGAGGACCAAAGTTGGCATCCTGGGACCTCAAGACAACACACAGGAAAGCAGGCTTCCTGTTCCCTTTCCTAGTGACTCCTCACTATCCTTCTCACCCATATTTGATGATCCCTTGAAAACTGGAATGAGCAGGAATCAGTCTTTCCATCAGAGGACATGAGGATATGAGGTAAAGAGAAATTAAATGGCTTTGCCTACCACAGTGACCACCACCAGGCCAGCACCAGCTAGCCAGTTCCCTGCCCTCAGAGCTCTCAGCATCAGTTTCCAGGTCCTGGACTCCCATTGGCCCCTCTGAAGAGAGTCACTCCTGCTTCTTCCACCCGATGCATGTCTGTCTGGGCTCCTCCTGTACATGTCCAGGCTTTATTGCTTCAACAACTCCTACGGCTTGGCTCTCTGCACACCCCATCTGACAAGATATGACCCAGGCCAGCCCTATGTGATCCTCTAGGAGACACTCAAGCCAGACCAGAGTGAGGCAGAGTGGAAAGTACTAGGCCCTGAGAGAAATGTCCAGGTCCTGCAGGGCAGCCAGTCACCTACCCCTTCTTTAGGTTCTTCACATAAGCACTCTGCAGGGCGGCTTCCAAGAAGTAGGTGAGTTCATAATCAACTGGAGGGCTGCCTTTCAGGTGCCTTGATGTGCTGTTGTTTGAGGTCTGGGAGGGGAACAAAAGGGACAGTGGTCATCTAAGAGTTCGGAAGAGTCTAAAGCAAGGGCTAGCCCAGGTAGAAGTGACCCCCACAGCTACTACAGTCCCTGCTGCCTTAGGGGCAGCTTTGCAAAACACAGACAAGATTCAAGCCGGCTTGCTTTGATTTAAAACATGTCTGAAGCATTCTCTCCCCATCCAGAAATTGGAAGCCCACAAAGCCCATGGCTAAGATGATTTATTCTGCAGTCATAGCACTTTAAGTTAATCCACCCATTTCACCTTTAGAGCAACTCCATCAGGTGGAAACTATCAGTATTCCTATTTCACAGGCAAGAGCACCAAGGCACAGAGCGGCACTCTTCCTGCCCAAGCCACTCAGATTGTGGGTGGGAACAGGAAGCAGGCTCCACTTCTCATGCCCTTCCCTCTGCCATGTACGGATTTCCTGTCTGTTCCAGGCCCTGTGGACCTCACTATAGCACATCTTCTTGATTCCTTTTTCAAGTCCAAAACCAAAACTTGTAGTCAAATGGAAGACTTTCTTTTATTCATGAAAGTTCCTTTCAAGACACATGCAATTCACATGTAAAGAGCTCCTAACATAGCTGTCTAGCAGTGACCCAAATGACCTTTGTGGGAGTCAACTCAACCCCCTACAAAAGGGTTCTACCAGGAATTAGGCACATGAGTCTATCTGCAATCTGTTCTTTCTTCCTGACGTTCAATCTATCTGAGGGGCTCCAGGGCACTGGTTCGCCACAGGAGGCTGATCTGGTACTCAGAGAACATCTGCTTGTCTCTAGAGACAGTTTTGGTTATCACAGTTGGGACTCTGAGATAACTATGTCCAGAGGTACAGACCAAGGATGCTGCTAACATCGTATAATACTACAACAGCCCTTACAACAAAGAAGGTTCTGCACTAAGTGTTAATAGCACTGAGATTGAATGTCCCTGGGCTAAGAACATGGCTGGCCTGAGGCAGACTGCTCCAGAAAGGCCCATTATGATAACAGGAGCTGGCTGACTCTGCCATTTATACAGCAGTAGAAGTTCAAGGGTCTCCTGGACTTTTAAAGCTTTCATCTCCCATCCACCTCCTCCTTCAGAGTGCCAATCCTAACCCAAGCTGCTAAAGACCCACCTCGACTAAGTATCTACAAAGCAGAGTTTCTGCCTGCATACCCCGTATCTTTCCTGCAATTGTGAGATATTATGCCACAATTTTCCTGCCAATACTACTTGACTTCATGAACTCCAAAAAGGAGAGGGGTGAGAGTGGTTTGATTTCTCTAAACCTCATTTAGCTACATGGGGTCCCATGTAACACCTCCTTCCTAGGGCTGCTGTAGGGAGTGACCAAGTGAACAGATACAAAGAGGCTTGTCACATTTGGTCTCACAGGGTTCTTACTCCTTCATATATGACATGTACCCACTTATTTATTAAAAGTATTTTCAAGCTGGGCGTGGCAGCGCATGCTCTTAATACCAGCACTTGGGAGGGAGAGCCACACGAATCTCTGTAAGTTCAAGGCCAGCCTGTTCTACATGGCAAGTTCCAGGCCAGCCAGGGCTGCATAGTGAGATCTGGCTCCCCCTCACCCCAAAGTATTTTCTAGTGGTATGAAGTCTCATTCTAACAGTCAGCGTATCACAAGTCAGCGAGTCTTGTGAATACAGAGAGTTGCCTTTTTCTAATTTCCACAAAGGGGACACATGAGTTTAGTGCTCAAGAGAGATGAGCTACTGTAAGGTATCCCATCCCCAGCTCACCTTCTCCAGCTCCTGCAGGAACACCTGAGCCACCCAGGAGGCCCTCTCGAAGCAAGCCACCACTTCCTCCTCCCTCTCAGTCAGGCGGATATGGGAGGCAATGGAGTATGGCAGGCGTTCCAGGGAGAGGCCTGAGGGGAGAAAGAGAAAGCCTCAGATCTGCCCTGCTCAGGTTGGGACTCTAGACCCTTCCCACTGGCCCAGGATAAGTGCATCCAAGGGACTTATGCTGTGGAGCAGCTAGTGGGAGGCAGAGCTCATGGAGGGAAGGGAAAAGCAGATGCAATGGTGGTATTAGCAGCAACCAAGAGCAAGCAATGGTCTAAGAAAAAGTACCCATGTCCCTCACAGTGATCTTTATGTGCCCTTCTGGTGGAGCCAAACTGTCTATCTCCTGTATGTTATCTGTATTGGTGAGTTATCTGCTTGTAGTGGACTCCTGCTGCTTTTGCCTCCCCAACATCTACATCCCATTGTTCACTAACAGCATCCTGCTTTTCCTCTGACCAGTCTTCCACAGTCTCAGCATAAGGACCTGGCAACAGACCTAATCTGGCCACTAGGAACTAGTCTTGGAATTGTTTCTCTTTCCACTGGTGTTCTTAAGCTGGTGCCAGAGGTCAGCCTGGACATGCTAGTGAAAATCTGCCTTAAAATAATATCTAGGGGCTGGAGAAGTTAAGAGCTGCTCTTTCAGAGGACCCAGGTTCAATTCTCAGCACCCACATGGCAACTAACAACCACCCATAACTACAGTTAAGGGGATCCGACACTGTCTTCTGGCCTCTGGAAGAATTGCTCTTACATACATACATACATACACACAAAATAAAAATTAATTAATTAGGGCTGGAGAGATGGCTCAGTGGTTCAGAGCCATTGATAATAACCATCCATAACTCCAGTTCCAGGGGGATCCAATGCCCTCTTCTGACCTCTGTGGGCATTGTACGACATGGGTGCACTTACACACATTCAGGCATAACACTCATACACATAAAATAAATAAATTAATTTAAAACAGAAAATGTATCAGAGGGTTATGTCTACATGGGGGAATCTAATTCAGAGATGACCATCCCAGTAACAGCGTGAGTTAAAAATATTAATTAATTAAAAAATCTAACCAGGCATAGTGGCACATACCTATAATCTCAATACTAAGGAGGCTGAGGCAGGAGGATCATGAGTTTGAGGCCTACCTTAAGACAACTTACTTGAGACCCCATCTCCAAGAGAACAAAAACCACACCAAACAAAAATGATGTCTACTGAGTAAATATAGATGATACTACTTAACTGTACACATTAAAACAATCAATTTTATGTCATATAGTTTTTCACCACAGTTAAAATGTATTTAATAAACATATAACTCCAAGGCCCAAACAAAAGTTAGCAAACCCAAACTAATCTGTAAAAGACAAAGGAAAGCTTTGTTAGACATATGGGGGGGCTCAAGGGGACCTGACTCCATACTGAGCAATGAATGATCAGACATGATGGAGAAAGATTCCTAAATACACTTTTGGAACACCTGGATACAGCCTTGTATTTGAAGCTCTTACCCACTAAAAATTTCCAATGTGTGAGCCAATACCCTCTCCCATACACACATGTGCACTTTTCTTTTTCCCTTTGTCAAGATCAATTTGTTGAATTGTTTCTGGTGCTTACAGCTAACACAGACCCGACTAGAGAACGCTGCCTTCAAGACCATGGTTTCCCAATGGGCAGACCCAATGTGTCACTCATCTTTGTGTCCCCCACACTACCTTATATATAGTGGATATTGAAGACAACTTACTTAGGGAATGAATAAGAGCACAGTCGTCTAAGCCTCAACTAGTTGATAACCAAGTCTCCTCACCCCTTCTCTAGGTTGCATCTCTTGAGTGGGTGGCCACAGTGGCATCCTAACCCGTCTTCATTCTAACCTTAACTTCACACTGCTTTCCAAGTTCCCCAGAGGTAATGACTGCTAAGTAAGGTACAAACTCCTATGTTTAACACCAGGACCTCCAAAACCTTGGTCATTTCTCCAACCTCATCTTTTACCCTAGCTGCTTCATCCATCTCAACTTCGTGCTCCCAACTGCTGGGTTGGGAGACGTCATCCTGACTTGCCTTAGTTGTTCTTCCCAGCTGGAGGTCACCTCCTCTATGAAGCCCTTCTGGACTAACCAAGTATCTCTCCTCTAAACTCTGACTTATATTTATATTTTACATATTCCTATCCTTTTTTTTTTTTTTTTTGGTCTTTTTGAGAGAGGGTCTTATCTCACTATTTCTTATAGTCATATGATTCCCCAGTCAGATGGTAGGCACCTTCTAAGCATCAGCTTAATCATATTCAGCTGTCCCCCACCTGACACACAGTAGGGTAGGTACCAGACAAACATAGGCTGTCTAGGTGAAAAAAAACAAGCCCCATCATGACTGGCAAAGTACAAAGTGTCCTGCAAATACAAGGAAAGGAATTAGCATTGTTTGTCCTGGCTAGATGTCAACACATACAGATTCAGTGACCTTGCCCTCTGCCAGGCTGGGGTGTGACTAAGTCCAAAGGCCAGGAACCTCAGCCTGGGGGAAGGTAGGCACAGAATGTAAAGGCCATTGCTCAACACAAAGACCCAGTTACCCAGGTCACTAAGTGTCAATGTGGTGCTTGCCAAATGATTCATGATCATGAGCAAAAACTCCGACTCTGGAAGATGAGGGAGGAATTGAGAGAACAGAGGCATGTGCAATGCCTTCCTCCAAGCTGGCCCAGTTCCTCCACCCACAGCATGCTGTCCATCACAGTGCAAGAAGGAGGGACAGGCATATAAGCTGTTCAGAGGCCTAGCCCAGAAGACTAACTGCAGGTGACAGGAGTGGCCATTTTCAAGAGACTCATGGTGGTGTGCACCTTTAATTCCAGCACTCAGACAGCAGAGGCAGCTGGATCTCAGTGAGTCTGAGGCCAGCCTGGTCTACATAGCAAGTTCCAGGCCAGCTGGGGCTATAGGGAGTCCCTGTCTCAAAAAGACCAAAAGAAAAAAGAGACTCAAAGTGGATCTGCTCCAACACAGCAGTCCTGTGAGATGCTGTATGGTGGGCTCCCTCCTGAACACTTCTAGGTCAGGCTACTGGCTCAAGTCTCCCATGGGCTGGCCCAAGCAATGAATTGAGGACACTGGACTGTGCTACAATCGTTCCCCTGCTGCTAGCTGGGGCTTCCCATCATGTTTCTCCAAGAATTCTATGCCCATTCTTTCTAGAAAGTTCAAAACCTCATCTCTGAAACCCTCAGCTTGACTATACTAAACATAGTTCTGAGCACATCTCTGAAGGATTTTCTAGATTAGGCAAACTGCCTAAATAGGGCAGCAGCCTTCTCTGAGCTGGGGTCACAGATCTGCTCTGCTTCCTGACTGGGACAAAATGAGACCAGCAGGCCTGGTCCCGCTGCCATGCATTCCCTTCCTTCGTGGAGTTGCACTTGAACTATAAGCAGAATAAACCCTTCTGCCCTTGAGTTGCTTTGGTCAGATATTTTGTCTTAGCAAAGAAGAAAGTGATGAATATCATCCTCAGGTGATTAAGTTTCTCTTCACTACACTCAGCAGACTACGCTAAATGCCTTAACTATTTTTTTGTTTTGTTTTTGTGGTGCTGGGGATAGAACCCGGGGTCTGGCACTATACGACACACAGCTCTACCACTGAGCTAAACCTCCAGCCACCACATCTCCTTTGCACACGCCTTTCTCCTGTGCTGTCACCGTGCCAATTTCTAATAGCTGTTTCCAACCCAGTGACAGTTCAGAGCCAGGACTTTAGAGAGTAGATGAATGAATGCACACATAAATGGACAAATTCAGGCTTGTTGAGTGTAGAGTCCAGCAGGGAGGGTCTCCTTCCTCCATTTAAAAAACTGTTCTTAGCTGGGCCTGGTGGCACACGCCCTTAATCCTAGCACCCAGGAGAGACCGAGGCAATTGAATGGCTGTGAGATTGAGGCCAGCCTGGGATGGTCTATATAGGAGTTTCAGGCCAGCTGGGGCTACATAGTGAGACCCTGTGTTAAAAAATGAAAAACCCTAAAACAAAACAAACAAAACACATACACACACACACACACACACACACACTCAAAACCATTCTTGAAGAACTTACTAGCAAACTATGGCAGATCCCTGAGGCTCCCTAGCCAACCAACCTAGCCTATTTGATGAGTTCCAGGCCAGTGAGAGATCCTGAGGAAAAAAAAAAAAAAAGTGGATGGGGGCTAGAGATATGGCCTCAGTGGTTAAGAGCACTGGCTGCTCTTGAAGAGGACCCAGGTTCGATTCCCAGCACCTACATGGTGGCTAACAACCATCCATAACTCCAGTTCCAGGGGAATTCAATGTTCTCTTCTGACCTCCACGGGTATTGCACAACATGGGTGCACTTACATACATGCAGGCAATACATTCATACATGTTAAATTTTAAAAAAAATAACAAAATATTTTTAAAAGTGTATGGCACCTGAGCAACAGCTCTCAAGGTTGTCCTCTGCACATACACATACACACACGTGCACATAAATATGGACAAACATACATATACACACAAAACCCCAAAATTTAAGTATGTAAGTATGTCTTATATATACAGAATATGGGCTAATGTCTCAGAAATTATGCAAACAAAACAAAACATGAAAAACCACATACTATACGATTTCACTTACATGACATTCAAGAAAAGGCAAATTTATCTATGCTAATGAAAGACTCAGTGGTCACCTGGGGTAGTGGTGTGTTGGGAGCTGCTAATTATGTGCATTGAGCTGTGGCAGCCTTGTTTACTGAGTTTGTGTTATGCATACCAGTACTTAACCTGCCCATTTAGGAGGGATGTGTTTATGTGGAGAGCCTCACAATACCTGACCTGGAGGCAAAAGTGGTAAACAAAAGGATCAAAGAAGACTTTGATCTGACTGCTCCTTGACCCTCAGATACAGGTGGGGAAGGGGAAAAACTGTTGTAACTGATTGAGTTCTTCTGTATAAAAAGGTGGAGCTGAAATAAACCGGGGCTGCAGTCTCTACTGACAGCCCTCCCAAGTATCTTTTCTGTCTCTTCTTTTTTCTTTCAATCC